ACAAGAAGAATTAATCAAACCCTTTGAAATGTATTCTATCTAGTCAGTATGTGTTCTGCACATCAACACTTTGGTCTCAAGCCAAAACTAAATTGTTTATTTTATTTATTATTATTATTATTATTATTATTTATTTATTTATTTTATTTTTTGTATGGAGAGTCTTATTCACTTTTAGTCAAACTTTAGGAAACCATGATTTTCAAATAGACCAATATAAAAATTCTTTTTTTAAATCTTTTTTTTTAAACACTATTTATCCCTTTTATTTTGAAGGACTGGATGTGTACATTGGACAGTATAAAAATACATGTATTTTCCACTTGATTTACATCTGTTTTGACTTGACTTGGGTTAACTGATTCCTGTTTTTTTTCTTCCATGTTTCACACTGTATATCCCAGGTCAGTGTTTTTTCATTAACTTCACAACTGCCACCTTAACTTCGCAGTGAATGACATCTTTGGACAACCATTAATTGAAAAGATTATGAATACACATAAAATAAATGAAATATCAATACAATAAACTAAATGATCAGAAATAGAATCATGATTATGAACTGATGTAACACATTTCTGCTTTACTTACCCTGTACTATAATATACGCAGTGGCGTGGATGGTGTCCACGTTGTTGCTTGCGAAGCAGGTGTACTGTCCCCCATCGGCCTGATTGACGTTCTGGATGTAGAGACCTCCTGAAGGAGTGATGTTGATGCGGGGGTCCACTGGGAGGGCTGTGTGGTCTCCTTTGGTCCAGGTCACACGGGGCTGCGGCTGGCCCGTCGCACTGCACTCCAGGGTCACGCTCTCCCCGACCAGAACCTCTGTATTCTGCGGCTGGATCACGAAACTAGGTCGAGCTGGAGAGAGAAAGACCTCCAGTTAGTTGCCTCAAAACAGACTGCTGTATGCAAAAAAATAGTCTTTACCAGACTGGCATGCTACCTAGAATTATACATGAAAAGGTAAAAAACTGGGTTTGGGGGGAAAAAATAAAATCAAACAGTCATAGAAAGAAAGTGTTTAATGTTGTCTATCTCATGAGGTCAAACTAAATACTATAGTGTAAAATTGTACATAAAGTTTTTTGGAATGTGTTTTACAAGAAAACACTTTTTTTCTACTCTTGAATTTCACATTTAATTCAAATTGTTACTTTTAAATGTATTCGTAATTATTCCTTTGTAATCATTTGTGAAATTTACAAGCATTTTCTGAGTGATTTTCAAAATTTTTTTTGTTATTATTCATTGATACTTGTCATTTCTTTGTGAAATTTACTAGCAATTTCTGAGTGAAAACTGTTGTGAAAAAAGTGAGAAAAGTAAATCCTACACATTTTTAAATTCAAAGTGTTACTTAATTCTTTGTAATTATTTGTGAAATTTACTGAAACATTTCTTACTCAGAAATTGCTCAAATTGTACACTATTTTTTTTTATTCAGTGTGTTACTTTTTGTTTCTTTGTAATAATTTTTTTTCAGCATATATTACATGTTTGTAGATTGCTAAACTAAGTAGGGTTGAGCTAGTTTGGGAGGTTCTAGTAGTCACTGCCTACAGGACCCCATCACACTCACATGGTGATCTGAAGTATCGCAAGGTGACCTCTGAGGTCTTCACCTCTCCAGCCACGTTTTTGGCCATGCACTGATAAACTCCCTGGTCTGTTTCTCGTGTGTCCTGGATCATCAGGGTCCCATCTTCCAAAAGATTGAGACGTGTGTCGTCCCTCATGTTCAGAGCATTGCTGAAAAAAGATTTTCCCATTTATGCACATACCCTTCACATATTGAGGATAACAGAAAATATATTTTATTTCTGCCATGATTTACTCATATTCTTGTCAGTCCAAACCCGAATCACTTTCTGTTTTACATGGAACACAAATGCAGATACATTTCTTAGAATTCCCAGACTATCAAGCTCCAAAATAACAAAACACACACACACACACACACAAATAGTTAAAGCGACTCGTGCGCCATATTTAAAGTCTTCTGAAGTTGTCTGATAGGTCCCGTTTACACTTGGCATTAGGATGCATTTTTGTCAATCTGATCACAAGAAGACTACGTTAAATACAGGTTTAAATGGGGTCTAAACATTTTGAGCCTGCCCGCTTTTGACCACGCAGATGTGAGAACCAAAGATGCTGGATTGCAATTCACCATGACTTGTCTTGACGTGTCATATTTGATATTTGATTTGAACACAAATGGAATCAGACTTCAGAACTATGCTACAGTAGCTATGTTTACATCCAAAGTTGAGAATTTAACTTATGCACAAAAAGCACCGTTGCCATCCAACGAGTCAAAGAGAACAAAATCGTCACTTCCTGATAAACTGCCACTAAATATCACTAAGAAAAGTAGGAGAAGCCATTGAATATAATTATTTTCACACATAATAAATTACTTGCGCCTTAGAGCGAGCAGACGAAACACAATAAATGACTTGTCATTGCTTTTGGAGGTGGATGCCTGATGTTTGGGAACGCAGTCATATAAGACAGTTCTGGGAGCCAATTATACATAAATACTTTGACTACAGACTTTGGCTCAGGCATTTCAGGTGCTGTGCAACAAGATCGGTCCGCTAGTTAGTCAAGTTATGCCATCCCATCGCGCAAGGTCACATGACTTGTTAGATGCGCATGGATTAATTTATTCTGTAAAATGTGTTTACATCTCCCATTATTCGCATTAACCTTTTCGCACAAGTCAAAAAACACGTCAAGTGAGCGTAGAAACTTTTTTGCGAATTAAGGGATTTATTTTATTTTTTTTCAAAATTCTGCTTGTTTCTAATGTGATACTTCAAAATGTGCATAAAATGAATGGATGGTGATGGAAACATAGCTAGTGAGAGTGAAGATTATCTGTAAAAAAAAAAAAAAACCACATTCCATGGATTTATAATATCTGAAATACATAAATCCTGTAGCGAATCTAGACAGGTGGTGCTGGGGGAGGTGGAGGGTTTCAGAGGAATTGCAAGCTCATTGGCTGCAGAATCAGCAGAGGCCAATCAGATTGTTCCGTGTAGTAAATGATGTGATTGCTAGCAGATTGCATGTAAAAGACCTATCAGTATGCGCCATCTAAAGATTCATGACTGAACTAGATATCTGCCTATTCATGCAGCAGCAGCATATCTTACATGCTCACAACAGCACGTCTGTGTATCTTGAATCAGCATAGCAGATCTAATCTGCCAAGACCAAACACATTAACATCATATCAATTAACATGCTAAAACTATTCCCACAGTTTTCACGATTGAAATACTGCACAAGCTTTAAGCAGTACTTTCATGGTGTTTTTCCTCATTATGGAAAGGGCACTCTAGACATACTGTAATATTTCTTCTTTTGTGTTCTATGAAAAACAGGTCATATCTGCTTTGAGTAACATGAAGGGGAATAAATGAAAACAGAATTGTATTTCTTGCTGAAACTATTTCTTTAAACATGTACATTGAGGGAGGGAGCTTACTTGTTTCTGAGCCAGATGATCTGAGGTTTGGGGTTGCCCTCTGCCCTGCATGTGAAGTACACAGTGTTCCCAGAGGTTACGTCCACATCCTGCGGCTCAGATGTGATCCGGGGAACTTCTACTCCACAAGAGAGACACATTCAGATGAAGCAAAATATAAGTGTGCCAGAAAAGACGAGGTGTGAGGAGAAGTAAAACAAGTTTAATTTGGTCTGTAAAAGCTGTTGGAATTACAGCACTGAAGGTTTATTTGTAGTGGCACTGTGTTACTGCTGGAAATAACATTCGACATTTCCCTCTTGCCTCACTTCCTCTGAACTGGTTTGGCTGCCCGTGTTGGTTGACGGCCAGGCACGAGGTGATTGTGTCTATGGTCACAACAACCACGTGCCAAACCCCCAAACATTACCCAACACCAATGTGCACATGGTGAGATGTATTCCCAAACCGTCTGTCAGAACTGTTAAACTGTTTCTACTGGAAAAACCAAATGTCTGGTTGCACACTGTGTCAAAGTACTTGCATATAACAGGCAGAAGAGGGACAAAAATTACAGAAAGTACTATGGAGTGCTGCAGGGATGATGCATTTTTGTAGGCCAAAACCTGGAAATGAGTGAGCATTTTAGCATTTAGTTGCTCAATGGGTTTTGTTTAAATGTCTGAAATAAGTCTTGGAAAAGGTGGTTGCTCACAAGTGTCTATATAGGACTTCAGAGGCTGTCAAAGACATCGTCATCATAACAAACAGACAAACTCATCTACTCACTAGTCACTTTCACAGCCTTGTTGCATTTATAATCAGTGTTGGGAAAAGTTACTTTTAAAAGTAATGCGTTACAATATTGCGTTACTTCCTAAAAAAAGTAACTAATCACGTTACTTAGTTACTTTTTATTGAAAGTAATGTGTTATGTTACTTTTGCGTTACTTTTTAAATCTGGGCTGGGCTTGCTTGTTTGCTTTTAATATAAAAAGTTATATTTTTGGCAAATGTAAAAGCCCTTTCACACCAAAAGCCTCAGGCTGAAGGAAATGTAAATTGACGTCTGTAGAACACAGAAGAAGAAAGTTCAACACTCTTCAGCAATAAAAAAAA